CACAATGGCTTTTTATAAAAGTAAAATAAGCTGATCCAATTTATCACTTCATGTTTGCACTCTTTATGTCATTGAAATATTGAACGTTTTTGAAACAATTTGAATACAGCCAAGTTTGTCTTTGTTTATGCTTTCAGAAGGAAGCCAGTTAAACTCTCTATAAGAACCAATACATTTATGTAGTCCTTTTCCTCTTCCATTGTAATTTCCATATTTTTATACAGGTGTATTGGTTCTATTACTTGTCTGTGAAGTCAATGAAAGTATAGGCTGTTCCTCCATTGAAATGTTTCTGTCAGATTTATCATCCTCTGTACTGGAATAAAATTGATTCTATAATTAACCTTCAAAGCATCTTTGCAACATAAACTATCAAGAGTTGCAATCAACTTAACATAAATGCATAACATTTAATAAGGAATTACACATTTATAAGCTATATAACTAACAGCCAATAAAAACTGAACCAAAATGATCTCGTAAATGAACTCACACATGTTTGATTATGAGAGAATGTTTAATAAACTATGAAATTCTAAATATGATAAAGGAGTGTTGACATAATGGTCCAGATCTCCGCCTCTCAAGCGAGAAATAGTGGGCTCAATCCCATCCATGTTGATTGTTGAACACAGATTCTTTGTGAAAAATTTATTATTAAGCTGGTTTACCCTAAAATGCGTCCTATATTTGACAATTTATCAATCACCTGTGCAAGAGGCACGTGGAACCATTTCATAACATAATCAAAGCAGTGTGCAATGGTGGGACGTACACAAGTCATTGCAATGAATTCGAAATTACAAATTATCAGGCTATAAAATAATCCTTTTTAATTATTTACCATTGTTTTCCGCAAAGTTTACCTTCAACAAAATGGCGGGCGCACATGTGTGTACATTCGGAATACTTCTATTTGATCCATACATAGACTTAGACTTTCAATAAGCAGTAAGCAGTAGCCAGTGAGCAGCAGGCTGTCCAGTTAGCAGTAGGCAGTGAGCAGTAGGCTGTCGTTTATGGAATTCCGTATTACATTCATGTTCTTAATAGTTTAATTCAAATACTTCCTCGTGCTTCTGCAGATGCTAATGCAAAAATGTACATTTATCCTCAATTATTACTATATAATATCCTTAAATAAGATTTGAATGTTTTAAAAAGAGATTCACAATACTATTACAGTTTCACTCTGATGTATAAATTGTACCATTATTTATTTTTAAACTTTAGAATAATGTAGGGTTCGAGTTCAAATGTGTAGGAATATAATCACGAAGACCGATAGGCCTGAGGGATAAATTAAATAAAGCGTGCATTATTATACTACAATGCAAGAAAAATTAATATATATTTCCATAATTGGGGTTTATTGTCCCCCGCCTTTTCGAATAAAAAAGGGGGATGTAGAAATAGGCTCCGTCCGTCCGTCTGTCTGCCCGTCATACTTTCAAGTCCGGTCCATAACTTTGTCATTTATCAAAGGAATTTGAAATAACTTGGGACAAATGTTTGTTATAATAAAACGATGTGTAATGCGCGACAACCAGACCCCTACCTCCAGGGTCAAGGTCGCACTTGCTCATTCAAGGCCAACATTGTCTATTTGAGGGTATATGTCGTGTCCGGCCATAACATTCTTATCTTTGAATGGATTTTGTAAATACTTGCCACAATTGTTCACAATAATAAGACGATGTGTCATGCGCAACAACTGGTCACCTAACTCCAAGGTCAAGGTCCCACTTGGAGGTCAAAGATTAACATAGTCTGTTATAGGGTATATTTTGTGTCCGGTCCATAACGTTTTCATAGATCAAAGCATTTTGAAAATACTTGGCACAAATAGTCACATTAATAAGACAATGTGTCATGCGCAACACCTGCATCCCTACCTCCAAGTTCAAGGTCACACTTAGAGAAAAAATAACATAGTATGTTAGAGGGTATATTTTATGTCGAGTCTATATCATCTTCATAGATCAATGGATTTTGAAAATACTTGACACAAATGGTCACAATAATGATATGATGTGCAACACGAGCACCACTACCTCCAAGGTCAAGGTCAAGGTCACACCTACAGGTCAAAGATTAACATAGTCTGTTATAGGGTATATTTTGTGTCCGGTCTATAACTTGTTCATAAATCAAGGGATTTTGTTAATACTTGGCACAAATGTTCACAATAATGAGACGTTGTGTCATGTGCACTTTTCACTTTATTTCTACTGCGTTAGCAATGGAATAAGGGCTATTTTTGTATATTTTACACCCTTTTTGCATTGGACGGGATTGTAAGCTCTGTTTGCACTGTACAAATTAAAATACTTGTTCGCTTCACAATATTTACTTTTTAAATACATTTTCATGACATCTGGAGCCCTGCTTCTATAAAATCATGGCTGAGTTAATACGTTTAATATATTGATAACCTCATTCTACCTTCAGGATAGTCTTGGTAGTAAGTCATCTCTAAATCATTTAAAAGACACAACCGATCATCTTATATTCACGATTCGTAATCCTATCGGTATTATTATGAAACGGCACCCTCTTTGCACATGCGCGGGCCATTCTTTGGCGGTTGACAGAAATATTAGCAATGTTCATGGAGACATGAGATGCAGAATTCTATGAAAAATACCACGGAACACTGGAACGTTTTAGCTTTGTCATTTCCATGTAGCCCCCAAAGAAGCACACCAAATCAAGAACCGTTGTGTTAAATTAAAAATGATAAGGTTTCTGTTAAGGCCGTGGTCTTGTGAATGTTTTAAGTTTATTATCAACATTATAAAAATAGCATTTGTGCCCGTGTCTGAATTAATACACACTTGTTCATATTAATCAATAAATCAAATCATGTCAATAAAAAGAAGATTTCAGGCATAAAACTTTAATAAAAATCATGTCACTTTGTCAATATAAAGAAGATTTCAGGCATTATATTTTAATAATTTTGTTTTTGATTATTATTCTTAATTTATATTTATGAAACTAAATGTTTAATAATAACATGTTGATATATTGGTTGTTTTGAAATAATTATAACTTTAGTATATAAGGTTACATTTCTGTGGTAACATTGGTAATGCACGCCATTGCAGAAAGGTAAATTATCAACACTCAGTGTTTCAAGATTCGGGTCATGACTGGTGACATATCCGGCGGAGTCCGTACTCGACAGCGAAAGCTGCATTTTGTGCTCGAACGGCGGGAAGGACCCTTATTAGGCATAGACTATATATAGATAGATAGATAAGAAACTTTGATATGCAGTTTCAACATGAGGTGTATTGTTTTTTTTTATGAATGGTTTTATTCCCAATAAATCAATTAACAATAGCTCTTTATATCACCAATGTCAAGTAGCTTTTATATCTTTGACTCGCATAGTGAATTTCCTCATACCTGCCTAATATTCAGGTAACAGTCTTCTATCAGTATTGAAAGAAACCATATTTTTTTAAAATTTGACATAAAAAAATGCATGTAATATTACTATATTATTAATATATTATTCCCTTTTGTTACTTTTTGTATATTTGTTACAATTATAATAATAATAAAAACAGACTTCTATATTTTTATCATCTTATATTACTGACTACAGTAGTGACACAAACAGAACACAGTACAGTCATGTCACATAACATTTACATGTTTGTATTCAATGGAATTACTTTCCTTATCAGGTAGGCATCAGTGAAAGCATTTTTTTTTCAAATTAAATATCTGGCCCCTCTTTTTAATTATGGACAGTGCATAAGATAAGTATAATTATGCAAAAAATGGTTTACAAAACATTCGGAAAAAATCTGCAATAGTACTTAATCTGAATATAACACATGACCTGTGCGTAGGAATAATTTGGTAAGGTATCTGTAATAAGCGTATTTTTTTGCGCGGAGCTTCTCAATTGCTGCATTGCAGCAACATTTGTACTTGTTACGTTAAGCGACGACACAACACATCGTATCGCCTTAAAATAAGTCGACATGCACATGCACATGCGTATTATCTCGAACACGGCATCTCGGGGGGTCAATTCAAGCTTCCATACACACATGTCACCTTTGTGCCACCGTAGAACATGAAGACAGTAATATTTTATATATTCTTGAGAAAAGTGAGTAGGCACTGACTAGCCACTGATTCATATAAACTGACAAAAATGGCATTATTCCGGATGAACAGCCAGTGCCATTTCAACATCCCCTAACCGATTAGCCCAACAGATTGTGCGCTTTAGGGCTTTTTATTATATAGACGATGGTCACCCTTATAGACAGACATCTAAGAAATATCAGATTATAAAATCGGTCGGTCTTGCAGTCGAAATGTTGAGACTACTATCCGATTTATCCGGACAGACAGCCAGTGCCATTTCAACACCCACTATCCGATTTATCCAGTCATTTCAATATCCCCTTTCGATTTTAATTGCGAGTTAACATACTCAGTGTCGGTTAGATGTGTTTATTTTTAATCCATAAAGAAATTATTTCAAAAAAGTTATACGAATTAGTGGTTTCTGGTGCCACAATTGTGTTAAATTGTTAAATAGTCGATGGTGTGGTGAAGAAGTTATAAATGTAAGGGAGGTAACAAAAATTAAAACAAATAGATTTCATTATGAAGTTATTTCCCTTCGTTGTAATTAATCAATTTTATGATTGAATGCAGCTCAGATTAATATATAACAGAAAAATTCAATCTTTAAACCTGGTTAAGTTATCTTTTCCAATGAATTTTTATTTATATATGTTCTGTATGTCTCCGCTATTAAGACTACTGATCATACAATTTATTATTAGAATAATCTTTTGCCCTCGTCTAACATGTAAGTGAAAAGATTTTTAAACATCTTTTTTTATTTAATACATAGCTCATACATATATATCAACAAATGTAAAAAACATCAACAACAAATTGAAATAGTTCGATAACAGACAACAATAAATAACATTGTAGTAGTTTCTTGTCACACAGTGTTTTTATACATGTGTCTCCTCAAGTCTGGCAATGCATCGTCTGTCCAACACGGAATATATCTAAAAAATACAAACATGAATATATAAACAAAGGGTTAAAAACAAATAGACAAAATATTGTTTATTTAAAATGCGATACAGGTAAAAAAATCTATGCAGATATGCTCAGATGAAAACAATTCAGTTGTCTATCATAAACATTATTTTTGAAACTTTTTTTTCAGTCAATTAACTTACCTTATCAAAAAGTATTTTTGTAGCTTTGTGCTGACTGTAACATATTGTAGAAAAGAGAAGTTTCTCAGCTTTTCCGACCTTTATACATCGTTCGACAAAATCTAAACATGCATTGCATAGATCTCGAAGCTCAAACTGGGAGACAGCACAAAACAAACCTGAAATCACAAGAAAAATTATCACATTGAGTGAAGCACAAATACATTATCAGTATGGCCATTCACATGTAATACATCCGATATTGTCGGACGCCTCTTTGTTACAAACGTTTACAGTTGTTTACTCTTTTTTCAATTCTAAATTTTGTAATGTGATTACATACTTATATTTATCAGCAACGATTTCCTCAGTGATCCGTCAACCATTAAATTTAAGGGGAGCGGTGGCCTATTCTTTAAGGTGTCTGCATCTCAACCCAGAAATCATGGGTTCGAGCATTTCGACGTTAAATGAGGATTTATACAATGCTAAACAATTATCTGACAAGATTTTCTTTTCATCTAAGCAAATTTGATAGAAAAAGTCTGGATAAAGCTTGATCCCACGGAAGCATGAATCAAAACAAAATTATATAAACATTGCAGACTCGGCTTGATTGAGTATGTACATTAAGGATAATAATGGTGTGCAACATCCCTCACGCCCACCAATACCGGCTTGCGCGGTACTCAGTTTTCAACAGTTAAAAGTCTCGTCCCCTTTCAAAATTCCATTTTGTTTAGTTCCGCCCATTGTTTTCTCGTGCACTAAAGAGAACACAATATATTTTTGAAGAATTTAAGCATCGTCAAAATTTTCGTATACATGTAGTTATTTCCCTTTAACCAACAAGAATGAACAATAAATGGCTTTATCACACACCCGTGCCGATTTTGCGACTCCGTAAATATGGTATTGCACGGCCGTGCATATATTTTGACGCGACGTCATTAGCGTTATACAAACATAGTGTAAAGACGCGCTAAATGTTAACGTTATACTATAGGCGCGTCAATGTAAAATTACTCTTATTTCACTTTAAACGGTCTTTATTTTTGGTATGTGATAAATAGAATATTAAATGAGTGTAAGTTCAATACTGAATTCATTGCACTCGTTGAATAAAATAATATTATGCTCGCCACAGGCTCGCATAATATAATTTTATTCAACTCGTGCAATTAATTCAGTATTAAACTTACACTCATTTAATATCCTCTATATATTTTCCTTTCGTTCTTTCATTTTCGATTTTACATTTACATTTTGCATAAACTACACATATGTAGCTTTTGATAAAATAAAGACAAAGGTCTGAATGCCTTTCTTGAAGGTTCCATGATATACGCCATATGAACACATCTGCGGAGGTTTCAAAATTGTATTAGTTCATGTTAAATTCTGCTTAAGCCGGTGCTATGGGGCGTGGAAGGTAATTTGCACTTGACAATACTGTCCATGAACAGGCTCAATCAAACCGAGCCTGCAACATTTTCAATATTGCCGTGTTGGGCTTTCTTAAAGGATTCTTATTTTCTCTATTTTATCGCCACATTTTGCTTTATTGTATTTCAGATGATACTGTCTTGCGTACATTAGGATTGCTGTTTCGTGTTTCGGCCCGATTTACGAGTGATTTGACTATGTTATGCATGTATTCGTTTAGTTTCATTGCTTAATTAATTGAACTCATTGGATAAATCATGTATCCAGTTTTATTCGAATCGGTAATTGAATTCAGTTTTGAACCTTCACTCATTCAATATCATTCATGTAATGTATGGAACAAAGTTTTGACGGTTTAAAGAATCGTCAACTGAATATTCCCCTATAGTTTACAGTTATTTCCCTATTACTTTATTGCTATATTTTCCTTTCTTTCATTTTCTATTTTACATTTTGCATAAACCACACATATATAGCTTTTGGCATAATTAATGCAATATTGAATTAGGTGTGAATTTCTTTATCTTGCCATGTTTTTACCGTTATTTTATCTTCATAGATAAATGATACTTATTTGGCTTTTTGTCTTCATATTTTTGTTTCTTATGTAGAGGATTGCTTATTCTAATTAAGTGAAAAATATTTTTTAACCAAGAAACGTTTCATTTTTATTCTTTATTTCATTCATAGCTTATATATCAATAAATGTAAAAAATATCAATAACAATTGATCCATGAACAGACAACAAATAACAATTAATACTACAGCACATCTATTAGAAGTTCCTTGTAACATAGTGCATTCATACACGTGTCTCCTCAAGTCTGGCAATGTGGCGTCTGTCAAACACGGAATATATCTGAAAAGTATAAACATGAAAATATAAACAACGAGTAGACAAATATTTGTATATTATGCGACAATATAAATATTTTATGCAGATATGCCCATATAAAATCATTTCAGTTAAACTGTTGCCTGTCAAATTAATCTGGAATCTTTTTTTCGACAGTTATTTACAAGTCAATAAAATTACCTTATCAAATAGTATTTTTGTAGCTTTGTACTGACTGTAACATCTTGTAGAAAAGAGAAGTTTCTCAGCTCTTCCGACCTTAATACATCGTTCGACAAAATCTAAACACGCATTGCATAGATCTCGAAGCTCAAACTGGGAGGCAGCACAATACAAACCTGAAAACACAACAAAAAATATCATGAGTTTAAAGCATAAATACATTATCAGTATGGCCATTCAAAAGTAATACATCCGATATTATCAGTTGATTTTTGTTACGTACGTTTTTAGTAAACTCCTTTTTTTAAATTATAAATTTTGTAATGTGATTAGTGATTATATTTACCAGCAACGGTTTCCTCAGTGATATTCACACTTCCGCAGTGAATAAACTGTACCAACATTCGGAACACTTCAGAATCGTATTTCTTGACAGGGATAATAAGTCTCTGTGATAATGACCGACCAATTCCAACTGTTGCATTTTTCTTACTTTTCTTGTTCTTTTTAAAGTTTTTTTCTTGATCAGCTGCTTCCATGGACATGTGTTTCAAAATCAGTTGATACATGATTCTGAAATAAAAAGTAATGTATGAATAAATATGTAATGGGGCGATTGAGGTACTCTATTACTTTCGAGTGGACAAATCACGAAATATTCAGCCTAATAAAACTAAGATTCTTACCTACTCCGTGTACCCATGATGGCACGAACACCATGTACGGGCACTTCACGTGGTCCAACTATAAACGTGACGTCACACATTTCAGGCATTGCCAGAATTAATTTTAGGTGCTCGGAAAGCGCATGCGTACTACTGAAGTTCATTACTTCTTCGTGGGTGGTGTCATATGATCTGCTGTCAAGACTGTCACGTGACCCCCAAGAACTCACTGATTCCACATCAGAAATGTCTGTAGATTCATAGCCTGACGAAGAATCTGAAAACATAAAATGCACATAATTATATTCATTATAAATAATTCAAGTTACAAGTAAAAGTTTAAGCTCGTAGACATTTGTTAATTTCGTTAAAACAAATAAATCAATCACTGAAGAGTAAATCATTCTTAAATATTACCATCATAGTCGAAATCAATAGCTTTATTTTCAAACAAGTCATCATTTCCAGTGGGATCCATTAATGGAAGAGTTGCATATGAACAATTCATGTTAATTTATTACTGAGATACTGAATTTATACGCTGAAATTGGTAAATGAATGAAAATAATAAGATTTGTGTCTATATATACAGGCATCAAAATGTTAAAGCTTTCCTTGATTACATTTTACTCTTGACTTGTGACATAGTGAATCTTGTCACTTAATGATGCCCTTAACTTAATAGGAAGTGCGCATGCGTGAAGTATGGCGGTCAAAATTTCTGTATGAAAATTTTCAAATAAAAATTTAAAGAAACAGACGGATTTAAAGAGCAAAATCTTGTAAATTTATAACAAATAAGTGTAAAAGTTGGATTTGATTGAATATGGACTACACAAAATGTGAAATTGTTCAGATTTGGATATAAAACATAAAATTTCGAATGGGTCTACGGAACAAAGGATCTAAAAAAAGGACTAAATCACAAACGTCCCCAGTATTGGTGAGTGAAACTCCCGCTAAACGTCAAACAAACTGTACAAAAATGTCTCAATCAATGAATATGGCGGCGTCTCCCCAAGGTGTAATGCCCCAGATTATGCCTCTTCAATATTTTACTCCTTCGTCGTATCAAAATCACATGATTCCGACATCGCCATTATCTCAGGCATTATCGCAGCCAGTGAACCAGCCGTTCATTTCTCAAACACCACAAACTAGCGAGTTTCAACAAACTGTACTTGATAAACTGAATTCATTAGAAAATCGTCTGCAAAAACTTGATAATATTGAACAGCAATTATCATCAATGTCACAGAAAATGACCCTGATGGAAAATAGAGTCTCCTCGCTTGAATCATCAGTTTTAGAAAATAACGGTCGAATATTAGATGTAGAAGCCAGTCGTGCTATGGATTCCCAAACGTGTGATGAACTGCTTGAGAAACAGAAATCTATTGACTCAGTCCTAAAGGGGGAGAGAGATCGTATAAAACAGCTTTCGAATGACTATGATACCCTGAAAAAACAAAATCACAATCTATTAGAAGAGGTACAAGATCTTCAATCCCGATCTATGAGGGACAACCTATTATTCTTTGGTCTTGATGAATGTAAATCGTTTGATGAGAGAAAATCCGAAAATTGTATGAACAAAATTTATAGCTTTCTTCAAAATACACTCAATATTACTGACGCCAGAGAAAAAATAAAAAATAGACAGGGCCCATCGTATTGGAAATTATGTAAACAGTAAAACACGACCAATAGTAGTTAAGTTCAATTTCTACCAGGACAAGTTAACAGTTAAAGAGCGTGTGCGTGATGTGACCAAAGATCAAGATCATCCCTCGTTCCGAGTCGGTGACCAATTCCCGAAAGCGGTGCAGGAGAAACGGAGGAAGTTAATTCCTACCCTCATTGCTGCCAAACGAGCCAATAAGAATGCTTGGCTATCATATGATAAACTTTGTATTGACGGTAAAATGTTTACGGTAGATACGGTGTCACGTGCCGGTTATGATACTTATTAGGGAAACAACGAGAAACAGTTATCATTTCTACTCTGGAATGTACAGGGTATAAAATCCAAATTAAGTGACTGCGATTTTGTTAATTTTGTATCTGATTTTGATTTTCTTTTGTTAACCGAATGCTGGAACTCTAATCTGTCAAATGTTGATATTAAAGGATACGACTGTTTTGAATGTCCAAGACCTAAAATAAATAGAAAGGCAAAACGGGATAGCGGGGGTGTTATTGTGTATTTCAAAGAAATTTACCGTAACGCCGTCGAGTTAGTGTCATTAAATGTAAACGGTATTCTTTGGTTTAAATTAAAAAAAGAATACTCAAAGTGTGAAAATGACCAATACTTTTGTGTTTGCTACATTCCACCTGAAGATTCTGCTGTCTACAGACATGTTAATTCTCCATTGTTTGATTTTGATTTCTTTGAACATTTAAATACAGAGCTCCGAAAGTATAGTGACCTGGGCGATATATACTTACTTGGTGACCTAAATTCACGCACCGGTGAAGAACCAGATTTTATATCAGACTTACAGTTAGACCGTTATGTTTGTATGCCGGAGAATGAAGATCAAAGCGAAAATCTACTTGTGCGTGAAAATCATGATAAACATGTTAATCCATTTGGTGTGAAATTACTGACACTTTGTAAACAAAACAATATGTGTATTACAAACGGGCGTATTTCGCCAGGCCACTGTACTTTTCATTCGGTTAAAAGAAATAAGCCTATACAAAGTACTGTAGACTATTTGATTACTAAATGTGATAATTTTAAATATATATCTAACATGTGTGTAATGGATTTAACTGAATATTCGGACCATTGTCCTATCATTTTTTCTTTAAAATGTAATGCTACACAGATTGACAGTAAATGTAATTATTCGTATGATAAAATTGTTTGGGATATAACAGAAAAGGATAAATTTTTTAATTTACTTTTAAGTAAAACTGATTTATTTGACGACATTATAAGAAAACTTGAGTCTAGTGATATTGATGTGAACCAGGGTGTTGATGCTTTTTCTAAACTTGTGCATGATTTATCGTTTCAAACTTTTAGTAAAACATTTTCGTCTGTCCCTATCACCAAACAGAAAAAAATCTACATGGTTCAACGAAAAATGTCGAGATGCAAAAGCCCTCATTTTTCCGTGCTAAACAGGCACTCAAGGACCACAACTACTTGTAAGAAGAGAACAAATTCTCATTTTTAAAATTTAGAAATGAATTCGCAAAAACTAAACGTCATGCAAAGAAAAAATTTTATAATCAGGAAAAAAACTAAAATAACAGATGTTAGTAGGAAGTTTCCCCGCAAATTCTGGAAGTACATAAAAAATTTTAAAAAACGTGATAAAACTCATAACAATGTTAGTTTGAGCGACTTTAAAAATTATTTTTCTACTTTTTCTAATTCACCAAATATACAACTGAATTCTGATTCTGAGAGATTCTCACGTGATGAAACCGTTATAATTGATGTTTTAGATTCACCTTTGACTGTTAATGAAATTATAAAAACTATTTCTACATTAAACCGCCATAAAAGTTGTGATTACGAAAACAATGTAGCTGACTTTTTTATTGACGCGAAAGATTTTATATCACCATATCTTTGTATAATATTTAATAAAATATTCGAATCAGGAATTTACCCTGAGGCTTGGTGTAAAGGTATAATTGTACCTATTTATAAGAAAGGCGATGTTCATGACCCTTCTAACTATAGAGGGATTACCTTAGTGAATGTTATAGCCAAAATTTTCTCTTTAACGCTTAGGAACAGAATAAATAAATGGTGTGAAGAAGAAAATATTTTCTGTGATGAACAATTTGGCTTTCGTGATAATCGTTCTACAGCTGACGCCATTTTTTTGCTACATACTATTATTCAAAAAAGTTTTATCGAAAAAGGAAAAACTTTGGTGCGCTTTTATCGACTACCAAAGGGCATTTGACACTGTTGTGAGAGATGAGCTATGGATAAAACTACTTCAATCTGGCGTTAGCTGTAAAATGATTAACATGATTAGAAATATATATAGTAATGTAAAATGTTGTGTGAAAAATATCTTCTAGTATGTCTATGTCAGATTTTTTCGATGTAACGTTGGGTTTGAAACAGGGAGAACCATTGTCTCCTTTGCTATTCATACTTTTCATAAATGATATTTCTGCAAATATTGATATAAATGCAATGACTAATAAAGATCTAGAGCTATTATCTATGTATATGATACTTTTTGCAGACGACATTGTACTGTTCACAACTGATCCTAATAGTTTTACAGCACAGTTAGACAAAATATATGATTACTCGTTAAAGTGGGGTTTGAAAGTCAATGTAAATAAGACAAAAGTGTGTGTTTTTGAAAAGAGAAGAACTTGATCATAATAACGTTCCTTTTTTATAAATAATGAAAATATTGAAATTGTTGAATAATTTCACATATCTAGGTGTTAAATTCTCATACACTGGAAATCTTCTAAATGCAGTTAAATCGTTGTCAGACCAGGCCCTTAAGGCATACCATAATTGATGTTTATTTTTGATAGAGTTAAATTAGATATCAAAACCAAATTACAACTTTTAATTCTATGGTTGTACCTATTTTGCTTTATGGATCGGAAATTTGGGGTGTTACAATTTCAAAGAAGTAGATTAAACTACATATAAGAATTTTTAAAATATTTGTTAGGAGTAAACGTAAACAGACACCTATATGGCAATTTATGGGGAATTAGGGATATTTCCATGTCTATTGTTGCAAAAGAGAGAGCACTCAAATACTGGTTGAAAATTAAAAATTCTGTAAACATGCCTATTTTTAATGCCTTATATTGACCAATGCAACAATGTAAATATTTCTTGTTGGCAAGTCGCATTCATTCCATTTTAGATCACCTTGGATATTCGCATATAAGACTTAACTTCGATACAAGTATGATTATTTTCCTTTTGTTAAAAAGAACATTACGTGATCAGTTTATACAAGAATGGAATACATCGTTAAATAATATATCTAAATTAGATTTTTACAGACAATTTAAAACAACATTTAGCTATGAAACTTATTTAGATAAGATTACCAGTGATATGCATAGAAAAACACTTTCACATGTTTAAGACTTTGTTCACACAATTTAGAGGTAGAACTAGCTATATAGTAGATTAGATAGAGAAAATCGTCTATGTAAAATGTGTAATCAAAATGTAACAGAAACCGAATATCATTTTCTCCTATGTTGTACAAAATACTCTCAAATTCGTCAGAAATACCTTGGTAACAATATCATGGCCTTCCTTGAATAAATTTAATAGTATTATGTCTTGTAACAGCAAAAAGAAACTGATTTATTATCGAAATTTATTAAGAAGCTTTTGAATTGCGTAAATATACCCTTGAAACTTAATTGTTTCATGAAAGTTTTTGTTTGTATGAATTTGTATTGTTATTATACTATTCTGTATTGTATGTCTTTGCCATACTTCATGTGTTTTCTTTGTAAATGGCCAAAGGCAATTGATTTGCTGATGATGCTAATAAATTTGAAACTTGAAACTTGTAATCACAGTAGTTTGTGTTTGAATCTGGCGTAAAAAAGGTGTGAAAAATATCTAGCAAACCTAACTA